TTCCTTCCTTCCTTCCTTCCTTCCTTCCTTCCTTCCTTCCTTCCTTCCTTTACTTTTCTCCGGTGTATGTACATACTTGAGACAGTCTCACACTGCAGTCCAGGCTAACCTGGGTCTCACTGTGTAGTCCTGCCTGGCCTTGAACTCCTGGTTGTCTTTCTGCCTTAGTCTCTGGAGTGCCTAACGTGGTCTTCTTACAACCAAACGCCTTCTGATTCTCTGTTTATTTTCAAGAGCAATTATTTTACTTTTCACAGTTCCTCTTTCCCAAAAGAGATATCAAGAGCAACACCATTGTTCCTATGGATGGATTTTCCGGCTGTGACCTCTGTCACCTGTAGTAACATGCTGAGTTTCAGACCGGTTCTGCACTAGTCTCACTGTGGGTTGGATCCTTCCTTCTGGGACTGAACTACTGGTCACGAGATGTAGATCTTTCTGTTTACATTCCTCTGGTGCCAAGATGAGGATTTACCTCCTGAAATGTGGTCAGTCTGGCGAATAATCTATCAATGTTTTTTCTTGAATGTGATCTGCTCTCCAGAGTGGCAAGAGGACCACACGTTCAAGGCCTTCTTGGACTACAGAGTGAATTTCTAGGCCAGGCTGGGGAAGTTGGTGGGGTCCTGTCTCAAAACAAAACAAAAGGTGGATTCGTAGTGCAGAGTGGCATTCTGGCTGACAAGCCCAAGGCCTTGCATTCCATTGCTGGCATGGGAAAGAAAACTGAATGAACAAAATAAACAGAAGCTTCTCCGGTCCTAAGCCAAAAAGATTCGCTTAAACAATTTTTATTTTTAAATTGTGTGTGTGCTTGTGTGTGTGCATGTGCATGTGTGTGTGCATGTGCATGTGTGTGTGTGCATGTGCATGTGTGTGTGCATTTGTTTGTGCATGTGAGTGCTTGTGTGTATGCATGTGCATAGGTGTGTACATGTGTGTATGAATGTGCATCTGTGTGTGCTTGTGTGTGCGAGTGTGTGTGTGCATGTGTGTGTGTTCATATAAGTACAAGTGCCTGAAGAGGGTATTGCATCCTTCGAACTAGAATTTCAGGTGACTGTGAGCCATGTGGTGGGTACTGGAAGTCAAACTCAGATCCTGCAGGTACAGCACCCGCTCTTTACCCCTGAGCCAACATTCTGCCTTTACCCTCTGAGCCATCTTGCTGCACCTTGATTTTCCACTTACATCTTTAAAGCCAAAAGATTTGTTTTATTTTCAATTACGTGTCTGTGTGGTTATGTGAATGGCCATGGGGCCAGAAGAGGGTTTCAGGTTAGCTAAGCTGGAGCTACAGGGGGCTGTGGGTGCTGGGAGCTGAACTCTGCCCCTTGAAGGAGCTGCCAGTGATCTTATCCTGTCATCTGGCTCCTCCATTTACATATTTAATCTGCCAGAAGCTCACCTCGTTAAGTGTGGAGTGGATCTAGCTTAATCTTTGTAGGCTGGTTTGGTACTCACTGTGTAGCTCATGGTCACCTCAAAACTCTTGTCAATCCTCCTGCCTCTGCCTCCCAAACTGGATTTATAGGGGTGTGGCCACCACACCTGTTTATTAAACAGTTTTCTCTACATGGTTCTAAAAAAGGCTGTGTATTGTGTTTCATAAAAACACAAGTACCGGCCGGGCAGTGGTGGCTCACGCCTTTAATCCCAGCACTTGGGAGGCAGAGGCAGGCGGATTTCTGAGTTCGAGAGTTCGAGGCTAGCCTGGTCTACAGAGTGAGTTCCAGGACAGCCAGGGCTACACAGAGAAACCCTGTCTCGAAAACTTAAAAAAAAAAAAAAAAAAAAAAAAAAGCAAGTGTTGAGTTTAAAACAAACAAACAAAAAAAATCGGCAGCGGGGTGTGGTGGCCTATGCCCTTAATCCCAGCGGAGGCAGGCAGATCTTTGAGTTCCAGGATCCAGAGGAGCACTGAGAAACGGTGAAGCTTGGCCAGCGCTGGGAAGCCTTCTTTCCTATCTTTATGGTTTCGGTCTACCTGTGTGAGGTTCCACGTGCCATGGATCTGCTCCCGAGCTGTCGCTCTGTTCTCTTGGTTTGTTCGTCTTTCTGTCTTTCTGATATTTGGATTTGTTGCGAGGATCCAGCCACAGCCTTTGTACACTCTTGGCAAATATTTATCTCTGTCACGCCCCAGCCTCCCATCCTCCCAGCCCCCGCTCATTCCTTCCTTCTCTGTGGTTTTGAGTCACCCTGCACCCTGCTGTGCAGACGAGGAAGACCTCAAGCTCACAGAGATCCACCCGCCTGCATTTCCTGAGTGCTGAGGATTAAAGACATCGTAACACCATGCCTGCCCCTCTTCCTCTCCTTCCTTCTTCCTTCCTTTTTCCTTCTTAAACAGTGTCTGAAATTAGAGCTGGCTGTGTAGCTCAGTGGGTAGAGCCTAATAGGCATGAAACCCTGGGTTGGATCTCCAGTATGACATGAAGTGGCCATGGTGAATATTAATTAGCATTAGGGAGGTAGAGACCGGAGGATTGGGGGTTGGAGGCCATCCTGGGATACTCGAGATCCTGTCTCAATGAATAAATAAATATCTCCTGTGTGTGTGCTTTATCTGGGAAATTGGTGTATTACCTCACCTTTGTTTCACAATGGAGTCACTTTTCACACATTACTGTCCCGTGTTCATTTTATTTATTGTGTGTATGTGTGTGCATTAGTCAGGGTTCTCTAGAGAAACAGAACTGGTAAAATGACTATCTATCTATCTATCTATCTACCTATCTATCTATGATTTATTAGAGTGGCTTATAGATTATTATTCAAATTTTCCAACAACGGCTGACTGTGGATGGAAAGTCCAAGAATCCAGTGGTTGTCTGGTCCACGAGGCTGGATGTCTCAGCTGGTCTTCAGTGTGTGCGGGAACCCTGCAGCCGATCTAATGCCAGTGAAGGAATGGACTTGCCAGTGAGAGAGAGAGTGTGAGCAGGTGAAGAGCCAGCCCTCCCTTCTCCACACCCTTTACACAGGCTGTCTCAGAAGGCTTGATCCGTATTTATTTAAGGTGGGTCTTCCCACCTCAGACGATCCAGCTTTAGCGGGGGTGGGGTTGGGGGGGTGTCCTCCCACTCTGAAGGATCCAATCAAGAAAAATCCCTCACAGGAATTCAGCAGCTTGGGCTTTGATTAAGTCCAGGTGTAGTCAAGCTGCCAACCAAGAATACCCAACATGGTGTGTGTGTGTGTGTGTGTTGAGTTTCTGTGCCCCCCCCCAGTGCATACAGGTACCCAAAGAGGCCAGAGGACATCAGAAATGGAATTGGAAATGGAGTTAAGAGACCATTGTGAGCTGCTTGGTATGGATGCTGTGAACCAAACCTGGGTCTTCTGCAAGAGCAGTGTGCACTTTTCACCTTAGAACCCTTTTTCCAGCACTCTATAGTCTTAAATGAGTCAAGTTTCTTCTTCTTTTCTTTCTTTTTTTTTTTTTTGTTTTGTTTTTTGGTTTTTCGAGACAGGGTTTCTCTGTGTAGCCCTCACTGTCCTGGAACTCACTCTGTAGACCAGGCTGGCCTCGAACTCAGAAATCTGCTGGCCTCTGCCTCTTAAGTGCTGGGATTAAAGGCGTGCGCCACCACCGACCGGCCCTTAAAAACACTTTCTGTAGTTCAAATTTATTTGAAGATATTGATTAAAGAAGGAAGACTTGACATCTCTCAGGATGTTTTCTCCTTTAACCTAACGATATAGTTAATTACAGTTTTCTCACATTAAACCGTTCTCGTGATTCTCGAAAGGAAACCTCAGTTGTCGGGTTTACAGGGCATGTGAACGTATGAGCTCATATAATGGACAATGATTTGTCTATTTTTTTCTTATTTTCCTGGAATGGAAATAGAGATGATTTATTAAGAAAGGGAAGGTGGGGGCTGGAGAGATGGCTCAGCGGTTAAGAGCACACTGACTGCTCTTCCAGAGGTCCCGAGTTCAAGCTCAAGCAACCACATGGTGGCTCGCAACCATCTGTAATGGGATCCGATGCCCTCTTCTGGTGTGTCTGAAGAGCTACAGTGTACTCATATACATAAAATAAATAGATAGATAGATAGATAGATAGATAGATAGATAGATAGATAGATGGAAGGAAGGAAGGAACGGTGGAGCTGGAGCTCGCTCAGAGGTAAGAGCAAGTACTGCTCTTTCAGAGGACCAGAGTTCAGTCCTAGCACTCACTCTGCATGGCTCACAGCTGCTTGGAAGTCCAGGCCCAGGGGATCAGCTACCCTCTGCTCTCTGTGGACACACATGTACACGTGTGCAGATCCACACAAAGACACACAGAGCTAAGTGACAGATCTCTACAAGGAAGAGAAAGCATCCTGACAGTGGCATGGGCTGATGAGCCAAGGGAAAAGCAGAGGCTCCAGTCTTTTTCTTTCGAGGCAGGGCCTTGCTGTATATCTGCCGCTGGCCAGGGATTCGCTCCTCACTGTGTAGTCTAGGCTGGCCTTGAACTTACGTAGGCACGTGCCGTCACGCCAAGTGTGTTTTTGCCATAGAGTGTCTGAGAGTCTATAAGGTCTCATGTAGCCAAGCCTGGTCATGTAGCCAAGGTACATGGCTCTAGATAAAAATACCTTGAATACTCCATCTTTGTCTCTACCTCGCTGGGGTAGACATGAACCACCACATGTGACAATGTCTATTTATTTTTAAACCTATTTTTATTAGCAACCCAGATTTATCATCTGTTGTACTTGCCGTGTGTGTGTGTGTGTGTGTGTGTGTGTGTGTGTGTGTGTGTGAGAGAGAGAGAGAGAGAGAGAGAGAGAGAGAGAGAGAGGTGGGGGGAGGGAGAAGAGAGAGTGTTTGAGGGATATACATATTGACACATGTGAGACCATGTGTGTGGTTGAGTGCGTGTAGGTGTGTGGGCACATTTGTGCTCATACATGTAGAAGCCTGAAGCTGACCCTAGGTGTCTTCCTCAATACCAGAGCATCCTACTGAACCGAGAGTTTGCTGGTTCTGCTAGTCTCTCTAGCCATCTTGGCCTGAACGCTGGGATGCCCGGTGACTGCTACACCTGCCTGCCTTTCCTGTGCATTCTGGGTATCCAGACTCCAGCCCTCCTGCTTGCACGGCCAGCAGTCTATCTATCGGTGGAGATACCCACCCAAGCCCTGGTTTTTGTTATCACTTTTGCTACCGGGTCTCCCTGTGCAGCTCTGGCTGGTAGTCGGTGATACTCTCTGTGCAAATGCTGGATTGCCTGTGTGCACCACCATGTGGCTATTTTTATTCCTGCACCGTCTTTATGGTGCCTCATTTCTTACTATCTGGAATGATTTTTAAAAGGAGCTGTATGTTCTTTGAAGACTTGATAAAAGTCACTGTAAAACCTATAAACCCCATGTTTCCTTTCAGCTGGGAAAGCCTTTAATCACCAAGTTACTTATAGATACTTTGTCTGTTGATAGGTAATTCTCCTGCCAATTTTGACATTTTAAAAATTCCCCCAAATCATTCTCTTCACCCGGCATTATCATTAGCCTACAATTAAACTTTTTTTTTCATCACTGGGGATTGAAAACAGGGCCCTGAATAAACTCAGCCATAGGTTTCTAGAATGGTGGTTTATTCCTTGAATCTCAAGTACTCAAGAGGTTGAGGCAGGAGGATGAGGGTTAAAGACCAAACCCACAAAAGAAGTGAGGCCTCAGTTCAAGCAAGCAGACAGACATTGTTCTCTGTCTGTACGGTAGGCAGGACACTCACTTTCCCTCACGGTCTCATGATATAATTTGATTATTTC